CAGCTGAACAGCCCCAAGTGTGGGTGAGAGAGTACTAGCGCAGGTCAAAGTGAAACTCAGCCTTGGACATTGCGGTCGATGGAGCGGGTAGAGCAACGCCCCCCACGTCCGGCCGACGGTGTTCGTGACGAGGGCACTGCAGGCAGGCTGACAGCTTAAAACATTCTCGACCATAGCCAAGCGATTTTGTGATGGCGTCCGGGAGTCAGAGTCGAAGAGGACCGGCGGTGAGGAGCATCGAGTTGAAGGGCTCGAATAGCACAGAAAAACATGTGACCTGGAACGCCTTCCCGCGCCTTCTTAATGATCGAGGCGCCTTCTCAACGTAACTAAAGACATATCTTTGGAGCTGGCACACAGCGAAGCCGCGAACCCGACCTCTTCCCACGCACACTTGCCGAAGATGAGCAGCGCCCGAAAGCGGCCAATGTGCGGCACCGGTCGGCGCGTGGTGTTTCACTTCGCACTCGAGGACATCTAGCACACAGGCAAGTGAGGGAAGGAGATTGTGATTCCAAGACTCTGATCAGCGACGAGAGAATGTTACAGGATGTCAAGGTAAGGAGTGTAGACTGTTCGCAGGGGGGACGCTATAGCAGGTCAAAAGACAGCGGCAGACGGAAAGATCTATGTGGAATCTTGAAGGCGAAGAGTGAAGTGCGATGCCGTCCGATGACGCGTATTCGAGTCTGCGGAGCAAATTCTACGCCGACGACGACTCGAGTCTGCTGACGATCAAAGGCATGCGGGTTCCGTACTTCTCTTGTCCAATAACAAGGGCTCGGCGAGCAATCATCTGCCTCTGCTTAAGCTCCCAGCCTGGCACAACTTCGAACTTGAAGTTGGTCAACATGTGACTCAGCAAGACCTTGATCTCGGTCTGAGCGAAACGCTGGCCAACGCAGTTGCGTGGGCCAGAGATGAAAGAGTAGAGACCAGGTCCGGGAAGAGGCTTGACGGAGGCAGGAAGGTCCTTGGCCTCGTTCATCCAGCGCTCAGGCTTGTACTCGCCGGCATCGGGGCCCCAAAGCTCAGTGTCCAGGCCGACAGCTGCGATCGGGGTGAAGAGCTCGTGTCCCTTGGGGATGGGAACAGAGTCGAAGGTGCCCTTGCCGTTGCTGTTGCGGTATGGCTTGGAGAGGGGAACGACGTCGTCCTCGGTGGCCTCGCGCACAGTGCTTGGGAGCGCAGTCATGAGACGCAGAGCTTCCTTGACGCAGCACTCCAAGTAAGGCAGGGCGTGGACATCGCCGAGCAGGCATCCCTCGTAAGCGCCGTTGCCTTCGAGAGCGTGTTGCTTCTTGGCTGCCATGATCTCAGCGCGGAGGCGTTCCTGAATATCGAGGTTCTCGGCCATGAGGCGCAACGTCCAGCTGGTCTGCGTGGCGGACGTCTCGGAGCCAGCGAGCAAGAAGGTAGATGGCACACCCTCGAGCTCCTCGTCGGTGAGGCGCTCGTTGGGACGAAGATCGGCAGCCAAGTTGGCGCGAATGACACGGTGGAGCAGAGATCCGGACTTGGTAGTCTGAACATCGTCGAAGGCATCCTTGGTCAATACAGATTGGGCACGAGAAGAAGGCTGGGGCGGGTTGAGGTCATCGACGTTGGTAGCTTTGTCATCCCCAGAGTCATCGGCTACAGAGGCGGCGTGACCAGCGCGCTGACGAAGAGATGCGGAAGAGGGTGTTGTGCGAAGAGAAGCCTGAGAACGGCGGGACTTGAGTCCACCTGCGGGAATGCCCGCGGCGGCAGCAGCCTCGGCCGCGATCTCGGCCTTCGCACGAGCGACGATGGACTTGGCGTAGCGGCCACTGGTCGCACGGGCGCTCCAGATGGTCTTGTTGCGGTGGGTGGGAATGTTGCGCATCCAGTTCAGTCCGGGAATCTCTGAGAGCAAGATGGTGACAGCTTGGAAGAGGTCAACATCCATGCAAGCAGTCATCAAATTGTTGTAAGCCTCGCTAAGCTCGTCCTCGTTTCCGTGCTCCAGTGAGTTGAACTGGTAGTTGAAGCCAGCGTCACCGATGACGTCGAGTGCGGTGCGCGAAGCCCAGAAGAGGACGTCAACGACTGCGACTTGCCCCTTGTAGCTGTGCAAGTGAACTGCAAGATCGGGGGGCGTCTCGCCATCCTGCAACTTCGTCTTGGAGACCAGTCCCTTTCTGCGGTCCACAGATCCGTCAATGATTTTGCCGATTTTGGTTGCGAGATTTGCTCCGTGCTTCTCCATGACTGGTTGCAGCTCCTTAACCGCAGCGTTGGTGAAAGCGGGGGAAATGATGCGGCGCTGGCGGCGGTGCTTGTCGCCCTCGATACTGATCAAGCCTTCACCCATCACAGCGTCCAAAAAGACACGAGTAGGAGTGCTCTTAGGGTACTTGTATGCGCGACCAGGGCCGTGAATGTACTGCAAAAGCGCAATGCGGTAGCAGATGTGAGCTCGATTTCGATAGATGAGACTTGGGAGCGGGAAGCCTCGGCAAAAAGAGCGTTGCCTGGCGCCAAGACTCGGCGCGGCACAGCTGTGCACGCATTCTGCACGCATTGCGAGCCTCAACTCTGGCTTTGCAGAGTGTGGCTACTTTGGCTTTGCAGAATGTGGCTCGTCCTATCACTCACCAGAAGGGCTTTTGGATCAGAAATGAAGATGCGGGGCTTGCCAAACATGTGGCGGTATCGGAAGACGGAGCCGAGTTCTGAGATCCAGCGAGCATGTTGCTCTGCAGGCTCAGAGGCCTTGATGATACCGAAATCACCCATGAGCATCGTCGACAAGACCGAACCCTCATGAGTGGCAGCAGGAATGTGCTTCCAAGGATTGACGATATACTCTCCGATGGTCAGGTTGTAGGCTGACTGAATGAAGAGTGCTACGCCAAAGGTGACAGCAGCCACAAGGGCAATGCCCAAGGGCATAAGAAGTAGCACAGATGCGAGGAAAGCGAGCCCCATCTTGCAAAAGGTGCGAAGGCTCGAGAAGACCGCTTGTCACAGACGAAGCAGATGCGGATGTATGTAGTGGAGAAGAGAATGTGTTTGAGCTGCCAGCAGGGCAGAAACTTTGTTCGATCGAAGAGCGAGTGTGGGTAGAGTGAGTGGTAGATGATGCCATTCGAGGGCAGGTTGGGGTAAAGAGGGCGAGGTTGTGTTGGCAGGTGAGCAATCCTCGCGTATTTGTACGGGTCAAGCCTACGCTAAACCAAGGAGGAGCGCGCTTTGTCTGTCGGAGGGTCAGCGAATTTGCTCGCGCTTCCCGATCCAGGACTGCACATGTGCCGCTGCTGGCATGCTGCTTCTTGATTTGCCCCTGGGTCCCTCCTCCAAGCATGCAGCCGCAGCTTCGTCGAGGGGGCTGTCAGCGCGGCGGCGGATGATGCGGGACATGCAGCATATGCATGCATGCATGCATGCATGCA